TGGATGTATAGAATCAGCACGCTAAAAAAATGGAGAAAGGGGTGGGCGGGGGAATTTTTTTTGACTGACTAATCTGACCTTGTGTAGGCTCTGCACAGATTTAAACAAAAATAATTGCTAATAAAAAATTTCATCAAGATACTGGTACTTTGATCTGTGAAACACTGGGCCCTCACATCTTATTAAATAAGCTAGGTTGGATACTTTTTGAGTGCCCTTTTAGTTTTCCTTTTATGCTTTCCTCTTATGCACCATAAGTGAAGAGGCACTGCAGAGCAGCTGTCATATAGTAAGTTCTCATATTGGTCATGCATTGCAATTTGTTTGTCCCTTCCTTGTTTATTAGTATTTCTCAGCTGAAAATTAAGGCTAGCCCTGGCCTCAGTAGAATACAGTACTTAAGATACCTCTATAATTACATGGGGAGTTCTCAAATAAGGATAAGTTATATTAGCATCTGAATAATACACTTCCCACATTAAGACACACAAACAGCTTTGTCCAAACACCGTGGAAAACTTTAACATAGCAAGTTCTGTCAGCAACTCCTTTTCTGCTTAAAGTATCAGGCTATGAGGTTGCTCTGCTAGCACGTAGAAGATTGGCCAGTATCCAAACACTGGAATGGCTTACACTTCACGCTTTTAAATGGGCAGCAAGTACAAAGCATTAGTGTAATATGTACTTTTTATATTTTAAAAAAGCAGCTACATTCATTATTGGTTTAAAATCCTTTGATGTCTTTAAAAGGAAGTACAATTTTACATAGTACATAGCTGAGTTCTGGACCTCATTACCACAAGAGGCTGTAGAGTCAGGTAATATAACCAGGTTCAGAAAGGGATTAGACAAATTCATGGAGGACAGGTCCCTAAATAGGTATGAAATAGAACAGTCAGGGATACATCCTCCAACATCCTTAAGCTAATGGTAGACGGCAGGGATGGATCATTTCAGCCTTGCCCTATCCATATACTCTCCCTTTAACATGTCTACTACTGCCACCATCAGAAATGGGATATTGGACTAGACGGGCTGTTGATCTGTGCCAGTGTGGCACTTATGATCTTGATATAATGATTTAAGAACATAAATATAATTCAAGAACATGTTGATCTGGGAGGAAACTGCCTTTCAAATGTTATGGCACAATTTCCCAAATAGATTTAAAAGTGAACAAATATACTACAGCAGACTAAAAAATGGTAAGGATTTGCCTGTTTCAGTCAACAAAAATAATGTGCTAGTTAGTCCTTTCCAATATGAAAGGACAAATGCTAGACTCCAGTTCTTTCTAGTGTTGAGTCTGTCTATCCTGTTAAACCATGGTACACTAACTACTAATATTCTGGGTATTTGCACTGAACTAGTGCAACGTGTCCCCAACTTTTTCAGTTAAGTTTGGTTGCTAGTACTTTGTAAAACTTTGAGGGTTTACAGCCGTCTGTGTCCAGGGCAACTACAGCATTTAATACAATAATTCATGACAGATGTTTGACTTTACTAGTTTAACTTTGTATTCTACTGATGATTAGAGAATAAATGGCTCCATTTATATCTACCATACACCATTACAGGGGAAAGGATTTATTGGTTATAATATACTATGTTGTTAATGTTAACCACTGCTTTAGGAAATGTTGCAGCCCTTGCTTGCATGCATCTGCCACTTTCCCTGGCCAGTGTTGTCTGTGTAGGATTTTTACTCTTAAGTCTCAGAACTGTTCCATGAGATAGTGGGACTCTTCAAGTGCTAGAGGGGGCTTTGATCAGAAAGTTTCTTTACAGCTTGAGCAATTCTTCCAATTTCCCTGTAAGAGCTAGTTACAGATAGTGTGCTTTTATTAAAAAAAGAGGAAAGCACACTGAAACTTACCTCCTCCCCAGGCTCGCTCCCACCCCCTGCCACCAGGTCCCCCCCCTGAGCCTGCGCTTTTCCAGGCTGAAGAGTCCCATGACTCTCAGCCTCTCTGCATAAGGCCTGTTCTCTAGCCCTCGGATCATGCGTGTGGCTCTCCTCTGGACTCTCTCAAGCTTCTCAACATCCTTCTATAGATGCAAGCCAGGGTTTTATTTGCTTTACTAGCTGTGACATTGCATTTGTGGCTCATGTTCATCTTGTGGTCGGTCATGACTTCAATTCCTGCAAGTGGCGTTGGGCAAATCAGCAAATAAGTTTAGTTTGGACTGCTGTGTCCAATAGCTAAATATTTTGTTTATAATACTCCTGTTTATGCTCAAATACAAATGAAAGTTACACAGTAGCACTTGATAGGAATTCCTTTCATTTCAAAGAGCATTTGACTCTCAGAAATAAAATGGAACGTGCTACTTTACTCAGAAAATGTTATGATGAAACCCGAACAACAGGTCAAAGATGAGTAGAACTGCCAAAACTAGTAAAAAGCTCAGTCTTAACAGATTGTAACAGCAAAAGCTATTTCTTGTATTAGATTTTCAACCTCTGCTACAAAAGCTTTGTGGTTGAAAAGCTTAAAACAAACAAAACAGAATAAACAAAAACTCGCCCACTTCAGATTTGCCTGTTATGTGAAACCAGAAAAGACTGGAGAAAGTAGGCCCTACCTCAAAAACAATTTGAGAGAAAACTCAAAAATCAAGAGGAGATGTAGGATATCGGTCAAACCTTTTCCTCAGAGAAAAAAAAAAAATAGGGTGTGTAAAAGTCTGTTGACCAGATTTTATCTGATGATTACTGAATGTGGTTATATCCATTAACCACAACTGAAACTAGCCAATAGAAATGGACCTCCAAAAATGTGGGTTTTTTAAAATAATTCTAGGGATAGCAGATTATTCTAGAAATGGAAAGTGGCTTTGTCTGCAGTTCACAGAAACTAGTGCATGCATCAAAAGAACAAGGATTGAACACAAAGCACAATACTGCCCATTTGGTACAGAGACTACATATTTTCCAAAACAGGGAATTAACTGATTAGTAGCCATTAATTTCAGCCCTGTCAAATTTGTCGTATTACCAAAGGAGACTTCAGTTGATCCAAATTTTTAAAAATGCACCTCATGGCAAACAGGCTGGCGATTTCTTTCTTCAGTGACTTAGTGAAAACTTGTCCAAGTCAGTTCCTTAGTGATCCTTTAAGCTGCCAGTTCAACAGACTTTAACACAGAGACAAATTTGGTCCCCAAAGGGGAACATTTGTAAACACCACCAGGCTTATCATTAATAGGGGCTTGCTGGACTGGGTGGTGCCTACTAAGCCACAAACTAACTTTCTTATCTACCATGCTTACCTTTCACATTAGAAAAAAAGGGCTCAAAGTTCATTAGCACTTTGGTTCTTCTGTGCCTGCCTCAGAGGTTTGACAATTTTGTAGAAGTACAATGATACAACAACACTAGCTATAAAACATGTGCTGCATTTGTGTTATTAATTTGATTACAGCTAAACACTCATGTACATGTAGGGTGTCAGAAACTGTGTTGTCAACAGCATGGATCCAGGTAGCAAACTACATAGGTTATATTGCACTTGCAGTAAGGGGCCATGTTTAAATCCCTGTTGTGCTGTACACCAGAAGTCAGCAACCTAAGTCTGGCCCATGAAGAGATTGGATCCTACCTGCAGAAGCACACCCTGCACATGCCTGCCTGCACCATACATTCCTCTGCCATGTGCTGCTCCACTGTTCAGTAGGCAGCTGCCCTACCTCCATCCACTCTGTGCCGAGGGGTACTTTGTTGCCCTGCTACTGTAGCCTCCACTGAACCTCACCACCAAATTAGTTGTTCCTCAGAGTACAAGCAGAGGTAGCCCTCATCACAGAGCAGGGAAGGCTGGGACAATCCAGAGGTCAGCTTTGGCCCCACAATTCTTAAAAGGTTGCCCAACCTTCGTAATATACTCTCCAGCTAAGGCATCATGGGAAGATGCAGAAAGCAGGGTTTGCTTGTTGACTATCACTGTCCAATTTTCTACAGAAAGTTACTGTAGCTTTGTTTTACAGCTTATCTAACCACACCAAAAAAACCTCAACCTTCCCACCCCACCTAAAAAAAAAAATAATCAAAAGATAGATCATGCTGGGAAGCAGATACTTAAAAATAAAAGCCTATTCATATAAGACAAGCACGTGGCAAGGTCAAAAGTACTAGATCCCATTTCCAATGATTTTGCTCGGTCAGCCAGTAATAAGGAAAATAATCCAGCTTTACACAGCAGTTGGATAGCCTCACAAGTGTCAGCTTAGAAGCTACTTAGAAAGATATAGAATGTTCTAATCAAACTGGTGTAAAAGCAATTGTAAATGCATATGGAAACAGGCACACACACACACACCCCTATTAGTTTTGGACAGTTTTGTAAATCCAACTTTATACTAGAATCTATGTATATTCATAACAGCAGCAAAATGAGTGTATTGTTACAGGAAGTGTGTATTACAAACAAATATACCAAATGATTGTGTTTAAAAGGCGTTACAAATCTGTAAACTTAAAGCTATGTATCCTATAACATTCAGCCATTCCCATCTATTAGTAATTTGGTAAACTGGGACACCTGTGTTTAACACAGGTCTGGTTTCAATATAGATGACCAAAAATCCCTATAATACAGAAAAAATGCCTATTGGCATCAAACACCTAGCATAAACCAATTCCTGAACCCACACTGGGACCAGAGGTTCCTTGTTCCTTTCAACATACATCAATTGAGAACTATGAAGATCACGGTGTGCATCTTGTTGGTAGAGAAAAGGCTTACATGTGAAAATTGCATCTATTCCATGCAACTACTAAGAATTACTATGACACCATTTTGTCCCATGCTTGTAAAAAAAAAAAAAAAAAAAAAAAAAAAAAAAAGTCTATGAATTTAGTTGTACTGCATTCATTGTTTTTTTGTTGGAAACAATCATTTTAAATCTATCCAATACCGTATACAACTTATACTTGTAGAAGCTATCCAAGGAATGTATCTATTAAAGAAGCACCTTTATGAGACAAGTGTACATTTTAAATAGTTTATTTGTAATGCTGAAAGGATGCAATGTTACATGAATTAGGAAATTGCATACCTGTTAGAATCAATACCTCATTAAAAACAGACAAGTTATTTGTGTGAAGAATCTCTTCAGTATTTGCTGACATACAATTTATTTGCACCTGCACTTTGATAAAGTTTCCATAGCAACCAACTTAGAGAGGGGGAAGATTATCTCTCAAACAATCCAAATTCCTCTAAAAATTGTTTGAAGACATCATCTAGGATATCAGAAGCCAGTTAAAGCAAGAAACAGCTAAATGGAAAATATTCTTCTGTGATTAAGAGGGCAAAAGGCTTAAATTGTTAAGGAAATAGGCAAAGTCCTAGTTCTGAGTTCCTATTTACACTGCTCCAGGGTCATCTCTTGTCCATAGCTGGATAAGGAGCCTTAGCATTAACAGATCACTTCTTCAGGAAGTATTGCAAGCTAGACTGTTAGTGTCTTTCAATAGGGCCAGTATTCTTACATATGCTCCTATCTGCCCCTGATAGGAAGGCTTGATGTCCAAGCACATTCCAAAACTATTTTCTAGCTAGGATCGCAAGCTTTTGCTATGTTATTGTTATGGGAGCACAGATTTTCATAACAGAGCAGAGGAACAATAAAGCATGTTTTGTTTTGTATGAAGCAGTCCATTTGAGTTAATAAATCTGAGACTTATCAGTAATACTATTCCATAGTAATACTGTTAAGGGAAAAAGTAATAGATTCCAGCATAGATTGTACTAAACCATTACTCTGACACTAATGTTGAATATAGCCAACAGTATACACTGAGAAAGGCAAAAAAGCATTATTCTGAGAAAGGATAGTTACAAATATTTGATCAATATTTGGACAATGCTTTCATGTTAAAAAAGAGGCTAATTGCAGACTTGAGCAACTATCCTGACAAAACACTCTCTTATACAAGAAAGAATTTAGGATTTCCATCTCATCCAAAAGAAAATTTTAGTGTGAAAACAAATGTGCACGTGCCATTGTTTCTGAGTAGCCAATATTTGTTGGTTTCTTTAACCATTTACAAGGTGCATTCTCTAAGTTTTTTATCAGCCTGTTTCAAGGAGATCCATGTATTTAACATGCTCGAACGCAGCTTGGCCCACACCAAGTGGTTACTTAAACCAAAGATCTGGGCAGCAAACTGGGCAGCTCCCTCAGGTGAGAGTATAGTGGAACAGCCAAGACCTAGAAAAAAAAAAAAAGAGGTATACCTGTTACTAAAACAAGTCTTACTATAGGCATTAAAACTTTGTTTTAATGCCCCCCCACAAGCTGTCATCTAACAAGTAGTTTTTCAGCCCACAAATGTTACTGTAGGATTTAGTTACTTTCTCTAATCTAACTTCTAGTTCCCTTGTCATTCTTTTGTTTTCTTACTGTAAACTGCCTTGAGCCTTTGTTGGGAACAGCAACATACAAATCAATTTAATAGTTAAAAGACAGAATATAGAAGTCATGCCACCAAGCCCCCAGTTCTTACACTTAGTTTAAGAAGTTAGTCTGTTTTCAGACTAACATAACTAACCACCTCTGTCTAAACCTGGAAATGGCTATTTTACTGACACTAGTTGATCAAGATGTGTCCCAAACCGTTTGCAGTACTGGTTTAACTATCAATTTAGATGGGACAAAGCAAGGTTTTCAGCACTATTAGAGAAGGGCAATTTAGCTAGCTATTACAGCAGGTGCATTTGCTGTCTTTCCCAAATATTTAGTTCAGCGTGATTCCTCTTACCACTGGGTAGTCTAAGAGAAGACCACACATCCTGAGCACCCCAATCTGCAGAGAGTGGAGGACAGTTGACGACTGGATATGCAGTGTTACCAGACATCACTGGTCCCAAACCATTGCTTCTGCCTGCTACTGCCACAAACACAGTTGGGATTCCATCACCTAAGACACAGAAGTGTTCATAAGGAAATATCAAAAGCTTTATACTTTTTTCCCCTTCCTCCATGTTTTTTTTTGGAAAAGTTTTGGATCTCAACAAGGAACCTATAGAAATTTGGATAACTCAGTGTACTTGAACTACAGCCTTAATTTCCATCTTTTCCTAAATACCAAGTCAAATTCTCCCAAGTTCATTATTTTTACCCTGATTTCAACAAGCAAAAGACTAAAACAAATACCCCTTCCCTGCCCTCTCTTTCAAGCAGGGGAACAAAACCCTTAAGACCAAAGATAGATACTGCCTAATAATTCATTAAATCTATTACCAGAGATTCAAGAGAAACAATGAAAATAATTTAACATTTGTTCTGCGTTCTACAGGCCAAAGTTTGTAGGCCTTCATTTTAATCTGCAAAAATCTGCACTTTCACCAACTAGGTTAACTCCTAAATAGTCCTATGCAAAGATAGTATTTGGTTTTGAATAAGCTTTTCTGCTACAGAATATGTATATTAATGCCACAAGCTATTTCAGTTGACTCATTTATTGCTCTGCTTTCATTCTCTGAAGCTCTCCAGCAGCTCCTCCTTGTTTCAGCTTGAGGAAGGATACTTGCCATCTTTGGTTTAAATTCACTGTATGCAAAATACAGGGAGGGTGAGGGGGGAAGAGGGAAGGGAAAGCAATATGGCAGTCTTAAAAAAAATCATTTTTTTCTTTTGCTACAAAATATGGAGCAATAATCAGGTCATGGATATTATCAAGATCTAGGCAAGCTTATCTGCTGGGCTAGAGGGAGAAGTTGATTTTTTGGTGCGTTAGAGAGTCTGTGGAGTCCCCCATGGTTCAGTGGTAGAATCTCTGTCCGACACACAGGAGGCTGGCTTCGATTCCCAGACACTTACACAACTACAGCCATGGAGACACCAAATGTCTGGACTTTGGATTCTGTCTCAGTGGCCTAAAGAGTGGGGGGGAGGAGGAATGAAAAGTCTGGGCAGCCTCCATTCCTCAAAACTCTTTCCTAGGCATACATGTCAAAGGTCTGGACAACCTTTCACTCTTATACCATGATCTGGAGGGATTGATGGTTGCCAAAACCAACCCTAGAAAGGCTGTAACGTCTGGACAGGAGGGTGTATCTAAATCTATTTAGTTAGCAAATGCAGAATGTTTCCTGTGGCATTTCACACCAAGATAAAAAAGAGATTCCTGGCACAGCTTGGCAAAGTTACCAATTTTATCTAAACACATTGTTATTGGGGGTTTACCTTCATACTCTGACTTGATTCTCAGAGTTTCATCTGGCCCTTTGTGAGCAGATGTCACACGTAATTCACAAGGAATTCCAAAGTTTGCACATGACTTTTTGATCATTTCACAGTGACTAAGATCAGAAGGTGATCCCATTAGCACCACAACTCTCCCTTGGCTCTTTGTCTTCAACAGCAACTAGAAAGTAAGAGGAAAATTAACATGATTAAACACAGTTCACAAGGTTGTCAAGTACAGTGCTTTATTAGTGTAAAGAAGGAATACCTCCACTCTTTCTGCAACCCATTCAAAGTTTCTCTTAACCATCTGCAGTGCTTCTGGAGTCACTTCTTTTAGGTCACGGTAAGACTGAAAGATATAAAAATAGACAGGTTACCAGTATTTGGAGGTGCAGATATTTGGTGCAAAATTAAAATATTGTAAGTACTTTAACAAGGTGCAACTCCAACCCCTTCATTCCCAGAGGGCTGTATGCTAGTTGTCAGACACTTGCTTTCTTGTAAGATATACAATGCAATAGATTCCTACTCCTTTAGTCCAGGCCAACCTGAGGACAAGGGAATCCCTTCATCCCAAATTTTAGAGCGATTACATCCTACGAGCAGCAATGCCTCCGGTCCTAACACCCCCAATTCAATCATTTTTTGACTGAAGACTGTTCTTAGCTGGTTAACATGTACTACAGCAGCTCTCTCATGCCTAGTTAGAACTGGAGGCTTTGACCACAGCAGGACATACCCAACTTGTGTGGTTCAGTTGCAGAATATCAGTGTTGTTAGTGGGAAGTTATTCATTAAAACAAAGACAAGACAGGGATTAGTCTAAGAATTGTATGGAAGGAAAGAACTAGCTAAAAGGGGGACCCAATTATGACAATTACTGAGCTGGAGGATATTTTCAAGTTTGTGACTGAATTGATTTTGCTTAATCTTTTTAAACAGTCTTAGCACAAGCAGAACCATGCTAATGAAGTTAGATGATGATGCAAGTTTGAGATGCACTCGCCCTCCTCTATATTGACATCTTTCAAGATTTAAGAGTGATGCTATTCAAAATGCAAGATCATGCATTTAAAGACCAAATTATAAGAATTTCTGATATTAGGTATAAACTCATCAGCTAGGAAAAGGAGGCCTAAGGATTATCCCACCACAGGATCTAAGACTGGAAAAATGTAAATGTAAGTATTGTGAGAGTATATAGAGAGGTGCAGTGGAGAGCCAGTTGAGAGGGAAGCGCCGATACCATTGTATAAAGTACAGGCAAGACTTCATCTGCAATACTGTGTACAGTTATGGTTAGCAGGCTCAAGATAAAAGGCCTCAAACTGAAAAGGTGCAGGATTATTTATTAGTCATGTCATTCCCCTGATGATCCTATCTGATGAGAGGAGACTAAGCTCACCAAGCATCCTCTCATTTCTTTATCCCAGGGAAAAAAAGGCCAAGAAAATATAATTGTTCTCTCTAACCAAATTAAGAGGACAAACACCAGTTAACTGACCTGAAAGGACAGTATTAAACACAAGAACAAAAAATAAATTTTATTCATGATCATTTTATACCCAAGCTGGCAATATCACAGGAGTGAAGTTGCAGACAAGCTTCCCAACAGGTGCAATAGTGGCATCGCAAGCCTTATAAAACTAGCTTGAGACAGCACTTTGACCAATTTATGGAAAGGGATTATAGGTTGTGGCTGCCTCCAATCGCAGGGAAGGGACTATGTCCCAAGAGGTCCCTTCCATCCATGTCTATTGTCAAGTTGTGTAGAGCAGTCTTTTACAAGAGGAGCCAATCATTACCCTAATGGTAGCCATCACCACAATAGCTATTTGTGGAAGCATTTTGGTACATTTTAATGGAAAGTTGTTCTAAAGCTGCTTTCTAATCTCAGTTCATTAGTAATGGCAATAGAAAACTAGTTTCTGATTTGGATTTTCACATACATAGAATATATTATAGCAACTTCTGAACGTCAGAGTCCATATAATTTGGAAAGTATCAAGAATGACAAAATCCCCATGACAGCAACATGTCTAACTAAGCAGCTTAGTTTAGGTATTACAATGATTCTCAACCTTTTTAGACTTGAGAGACACCTTCTTAGACTTGAAGCACCCTTAGAAAATGCCAGCTCTTGCTTGTTTTTTTACTATGGAAAAACAGAACAAGTTTTTCTGTTGAAGAGAACTCAGAAAGCCCAGAACAGGTCAGAATGTTTGCAACACTATGGATTCTTATTTAAGCCCTCTGGGGTTTACCTTGTGAATCATGTGGAGGTGTTTGCACACTTAACAGTGCTAACATTGCCTAGCACTCCACAGGACCCTTAAAAGGATCTTGTGGCACACCAGGGTGCCAAAGCACCCTCGTCGAGAATTACTGCTCTAGGAAGTATCAGTTTAATAAAGTCAAAATGGGACAAACTGGTCTGGGCAAACCCAGAGGCACTGCAAACAGACAGACCTTGGACTCATTTCCTTTGTAACACATGCTTTTGCCTCTTAAGGTATAAGATTAATAGCTGCACATTCTGAATGGTTACTTTTATGCTAGATCTGGAGGTCCACATTGCACAGGATGTTCTGGAACAGTTAAATCTGCTGTTGGCAAGTCTGTTAAAAAGAGACGCAAGCATTCTCAACATAAGGTTCCTTAAGCATTCTACCGTTAAGAGTCGCAGATGATCTTTGTAACTGACTTCAGTGGAATCAGACTCCAAATGCCTTTTGTAAAGTCCTGTCAAAAGTGACAGGTTTGTTTTTATTTGCAATTCAAATGCAAAGAATGAAGAATAAGACATCACCTGCTTGTCCTTCTGCTGGCTTCGATCACCAGATGGCCACAGCCTCCAAGAATCATTATCGATAACATCAGCAAGGACAATTTCCTTTGTAGACATGTTAACACCAAATTCAACCTAGCAAAACCACAAGAGATTTAATTTTCAGGAGCTGTAGAGTGATATCAGACTTCTACACACTATTTTCAGGGCCCCAGTCTAGAAGAATCAGGTTCTCTTATACCTTCAGGTCTACTAGCGTGCAGTTCTGGGGTTGCCATGATTTCTCCAGTATCTCAAAAATAGCTTGTGTGGAGTGGGCCATAATATCCACTTCAGTTTGGCCAATGATTAGTCCAGCAAAGCAGAACTTGGCTTCAATTAGCTGCTCCTCAGACCATTGTGGGTCATTATTGGCATCATCCTGATAAAGAGAACACACACATTAAAGGAGCAGCAGACAACAGCATCTGCATCAGGTTTTAGATCAGACTACTTGAACTGTAAATAAGAACAACTGGAATCCACTAACAGGTTTTGTACCTTTTTAAACAAATGAATGCTTTAGTAAAATGTTTAATGATTTAGTTGCAGGAGTATCTAGTAGTTTGCTAGAAAAACATTAATATCTTAAAACTTACTTCCAGAGGGTTCTTTACTTGAATACTAAATATGGGATGTGCAACAAGGAAAAAAAGTGGAGTTTACAATAAGGGATTAAACTTTTTAGCTCAGCAATCCCAAATCTGTTGTTTGGTACACATTTCTAGAAGCTCCATAACATTTTATATGGTTAACTAATTATCAAACAAATTAAATGTAAATCTCTGCTTGTTTCAGCTACATGTTGTGAAAGTCATGAAAGGCTGCAATCTTCTCTCTCTCATAGAAAGTACCCTATGAATCCCTAAGAAGAACCCAATACACACTTAATTCAAAACATAATTTTCACCCGCTAATTCTGAGGCATTCAACATATTATGCAATTCTTGGAATTTTAAAATGTTGCATGAGCCAAATGATATTTTCAGCTCAAATATTGAATACTATAATAAAAGTCTCCAAAAAGGTAGATTTTGCTAGCCCATGTTATCGGCATAACGGTTATATACAAAGAAGTATGTTTACCAGTCAGCTTTAAAACGTAGAAAGACTGTTTTTTATACTACTAAAGGCTCAGGCTTCTAATTGGTCAGATCCCTTAAAGCTCCTTTCCAACAAGAAAAAGCACTTCCAGGGCACATCTATGTTCATTAATGCACTTTAGGTAATGCGCATTAAATCTAGTACCTCTATTTTGATAGAAAAATGCACATTAGTATATTTAAATGAGCATTAGCTAAAAAGCACCGTTTTGTGATGCTTTAATGCACATTAAAATAGCCTAATGAGCATTAAAGCACGTGTAGACATGCCCCCAAAGTTTCACAAAAACCTAAGCCACATTCTTCTCCCTTCATGAGGCTGTCATGTTTGACCAGCACACAAGAGAGCAGAATGCAGTTTTATAGGGACCACCTTCCCACAGCATGGAAATTCAAAGAGAAATCACCTGCTATCAAAAGCCCTTGAGCACTGTTGAAGAGCCAGCTTAACCACCCTTATCACCTTGCTCCATTTTGCCTACCAAACAAGGCTAGGAAGAGATAATCCCGGATACCACAGTTCCCCAATCAAGCAGTGTAGGGATGTGACTGAGCACCTGGGGCAAAGCAGAAACGATGACTTCTGTTTAATGATTGTGAATGTGCAACTGCCAGCAGCACCCCTTTTTTGCCTCCTACCAAGCCAGCCTCCCTGGCAGTTGGCCCTACTGCCCTGCCCCACCAGTTACACCATGCTTTTGAGTCTTGTGTCACAAGCAGAGAGCCTAATGCCTCCATTAAGTGCCCAGACATGTTGACTCTATGAAAGATCATGGATAAACTTTATCACATTATATGAGATCTACTAGCAACCTGCTTTCTCAGAAACCTTAAGGATGGATAGACGATTGCTTATGAACATCAGTCACTGAGCACTGAAACAATCTTATGCTGTTAAAATTTGCATTCCAATTCAAAACCTCAGTGAACAAATATTCTACATATCACTGATCAATAAATCCACATAAAACCTAACAGCCATTTGGAAAATTATTTTGCCATGACTTGGTGATCTCAACAGTATTAAGGATACAAATCTTGGGCAGTTGGGGTACACATTGTTTTTGGTTACCTGTTGGAAGTAACAACGAGTACTTTATGGAGCAATGAGTATACTGACAACACAAAGGGAAAAGCCTTTTTTTGTTTCTTGCCACCTTTAATTACACATTTAAAGGGTGGGCAGGTTTTGATTGTTACCAAACAGTTTTTAAATTCAATTAAAACTGTTCTTATTGAAGTTTTTGTTGCACTACTCGAGGCTATTTCACAAGCAACTTTGTTGTGATTAAATAAAAGGTAGCCAGTCTTCAGAATAATCTACTTAAAATTAGCCAATTATGACAAGCATTGTACAGCCTTATTGTGATTAAAATGCAATTCAATCAACTCCTTCAGCTCCTAGTTTCTTCTTTAGCCATTTTAATAGTAGGTGTTGGGGAACCACAGCTTCCTCCAGTTGATACCAGCTAGAAAACCTCAAGTAGCAAGAAGAGTGTTAAGAGTCTTGTGTTATAGTGAACTAACATGTTCTCTGTAAAAGGCTGCATTTGTTTCATATTTTTTCCCTTCAAAAGCACTGTGTGTTCATTTGAAAGAAGCTTCCCTTCTCACTAAGGGAAAGAACAAGAGTGCATGTGCGCGTGCGTACACACACACACACACACACACACACACACACACACACACACACACACGTTATAATCCCTATTAGACCCTTTAGAATTCTCCCCTCTCCTTGTTCTCAGGTTTTCCAATTAGTTAGTTAACAAACTATCCTTTGAGCTCCTAAATGTTAAACAACAAGATACCCTGCGAGTGAAATGAGGCCAATTTTACCTCTATTGGTAAAGCAGACTGCCTCTACAGCACAACACTTACCCAGAACAAAACATAACATAAGAATGTAAGACATGTAATTTACTGGGTCAAATTATAGGTCAGATCATTGCCCAGTATCCTGTATCACAGTGGCAGAGAGTGGATATTGAAAAGTAGAGTGAACTTTAAGGCTGTGCGAAGCTTCGTTCGCCAATTTGATTTTGGTAAAGATTTGGCCCGCTTTGGCGGCCAAATCTCCAAATCAAAATCAAATCACGAGACCCTTTAATCTCTCCAAATTGAATTGGAACCCTCTGAATTGATTCGGAGAGATTTGATGATTCGGACACAGACAGCTTTAAATGTTTTTTCTACATACCTCAAAGTACCAGGCAGCTCGTGAACACCAAGATGGTGGATGGAGTGTCCCACGGGAGCCCGGGGGGGTCCCCAGCGCGCTCAGCAGCAGACCCGGAAGTGGACCAGAAGCATTTCCAGTTCACTTCTGGGTCTGACGCAGAGTGCGTGGGGACCCCCCCCCAGCTCCTGGGTCTGGCGGGGCACCTGGGGTGCCCCCTGCGGCTGATCGAGGAGCCAGGGGGGCACGGCGGGGATTCCCCATGCTCCTGTGGGATGCTCCATCCACCCTACCATCACAGCATTCACAAGCCATGCCTGGTACCTCAAGGTACGTAGAGAAAAACATTTAAAGCTGTGTCTATAGCCGAATCGCTGCACTGGCATCCAAATCTGAAGATTTGGATTTGGCCAAATAAAATTGGGACAGTGATCCAAATCGAATCACTGTCCCTGATCTGGGCCGAATCCAAATCGAATACAGCCCATTTCACACACCCCTAGTGAACTGGGTATAACTAGGGTGTACTGTTCACGCCCCCCCCCGGCCCCGGTTCCTCAAAGACAAAAAGGCATGTCTTTCACATGATCATGTAGCATATATTGTGAGATGTATAGTTACAGCCTATCCAGAGGTTCTCAATCTTGTGTTTAAGGGACATTTTAGTCAGATATTTTCTTACTGATGGAGTTCCTCTCCTATCATGCTCTCTCCTTTCTTCTTGTCTGTGACACCCCCTCCCCATCCATCTGTGTATCAATACAATATCCCCTTTGCAGTTATAATGATAGAATACCTAAAGTAATAACATTAAACTATTTACTACATTTTAGCTGTCATTACAAGGGAATTTAGAAATTGGCAATGAGAAGGATTCTGTAGCACATGACTAGCCAGCTTTCTAGACAACTGTGATATAGAACAATGTCTGAGAAGAACATTTTAGCTATGTTTGCAAAAACATACCAATAGATTTTTAAGAGCATGGTACTGACAAATTTCACTTCAATTTCAAATGGATGCCAGTCAGTTTAACACCCCCACCAAATCCTGAACCATGCTTCTGTCTAAAAGCACTACTTATTGTTAAAAAGCAAGAATAGTCAATTTATAGTCAGTTTTGTTATTTCCTTGGCACACTCATTTAGCTAGTATTTGTACACCTGCATCCAGCAGAGAAGAAACGTAACAGAATTAGAAAGCTACTAAAAGTGACAGAAGCAGATATTGTACCTCAAACTATTTTCAACGATCTTCACATGTAAAACTGATGAGGACTCTACCTAGGCAACATTCTTTTACGTCTGTTAGAAGTTGTTGTTTTTTTTTTTTTTTTTTTAATTGAAATGAGAAAAAGTGCATTATTTACCTTGTAAAACATCTCAATTTTGGGTGGGTAAAACTTATATCCTTCCTTGACGCCAGGGTTTCTTTTCAGGAAAGAGCCGGTAGCAACTCTTCTACATACCCATTCAATTGGGATCATTTCACAATGAGCTGCAATGAATGCAGTGTCACTGTGTTTTCTGACAAAAGCAGTTTTCATTCCTAGATAATAAAAATAAAAAAGACAACTCATTTCTACTGCTAAGTGCACATCTGACTGAACTGACAGTTACTAACATCATTGATCAAATCAACCATATAGCCAATAAAAATGTTTCACCAAACTATGATTCTCTGAAAACACTCCACATGTGTCTGTAGCTAAAACTATATGCTAAACTTCACTTCTAAGGGTACTCAGCAGAGATGCACTGATATAATCGGTCCATATCAGATCAGCACCGATAAAAGGAAAGTTGAAAATTACAGGCAATAGGCTTTTTTTTGGCCAGAGTAGCCAATGTCACCAATAAATGCCATGTATGTGCATGTGTGCAGCAAGGGATGTAGCCTGGTAGCGTGGAAAGCAGCCTCCTGCATGCAAGTCTGTCAGAGGGAAGGGGTGTGGGGGGTGCAGATTGAGACCCCCATGGTGAGGGAGGAAGTGGGGCTGGGGTAGGCGCTGCCCAGCCAGGGTGGGGCATGAGATGGAATTGTGGGCGACTCACCCGGGGGATGCAGGGGGTTGGAGGGGCAGCTCCCCGCCTCTGTGCACACCCCTGGGGGAGGCATGGGGAGCATGTGTCCCCCAGATTTGTACCCAGGGAGAAGGTGGGCTAGCCACTGTGGGCTTGGGGCTGTGCTAGCCTCCTCCTGGCGAAGAGGCTGGGCTGGGGCTGCAATCGGGGCAGGCAGGGCAGGGTGGGTGGCGGCACTACAGGGTGGGCTACAGCCACCCCAAAATTCACCACAGCCACCCCATAGCCCCCCTTCCCAACACGGCCACCCGCCCAACCCCAAGTGCAGCCCCCTTACTAGGAGGAGGCCAGTGCAGCCCCCAGCCTGCAGTGGGCAGCCCACCCTCACCCCACGCAGAGGGTGGGAGCCCGTGCCCGCAGCCTGTGGGAGTGTGTGTGGCAGCGGGGAGCTGCTCTGCCCATGCCACAGCATGGGGGAGCAGGGGTAGGGGGTTGCGGACCCAGGTATATAACGTCTTTAGTCTGGGGGAAAAAAAAAAAAAAGTGTCCCTGGAACCTAACACCCCCCCCCCCCCCCCCCCCTTTTATATTAATTCTTATGGGGAAATTGGATTCGCTTAACATAGGTTCTTGAAAACTGTGACTTTAAAGCAAAACTAACTATGATGTTAAGTGAGGAGTAGCTGTATATAAAACCAAAGTTACTGGTCCCAATGAATAACTTAGGCACTTCAACTTTCCAACTGGCGTCTTAAAATCACAACTGGCAAATGTCAGGAAGGAATGCAATTCAAAGGAAGTTTTGAAGGGAAAGTTTGAAAGGAAAATACATATCCAACCACACTGGCATTTTTTCCAAAATGTGATATGCTATGGCTTGCTATCTACAAAGGCTCTCAGTGGAAGATGCAGTAACTTACTGCATTTACTATTTCACAAACAACTTAGTAACTAGAGAATTTGAGAGAAAGTTATGAAAGAGGGGAAAAAGATAGAAGAAGAAGAAGGGAGTTGTCACTTTATCTTTTTGGTTTGGAGGAGAGACAGACAAGAGACCTGACTGATAACTTGCAAATGCTTTTTTAAAATAAATAATCTTCCCCGATCTTATAACAGGAAAAAACTATTGATTTAGTTTTTTAAACACAGGGAAAGTGAGAGAGAGAATTATTCACCCATATACCAAGTGTTACACCAACCATATTCATTCCTGTGTGCCTGAACCAGTAGGAATAGTGAATATTTAAAACACCAGCCGATATGGGCAAATGGCTATTCCAAAAAATGATGATTCAGCATGTATTCTTTCCTCCATCCAGTGCCAAATCCCTCCCCTTTCCTACCAGGTTAAGCTAGTTTTCAAGTTCTCAATTACTAGGAAACTGCTGGAGACCAAAAACAGAATGGGCAGTGTCTAGCGAATCCAATTAGAAAAACAGACTAGACATCAGGAGGTACTACTTTAGTCAGGGTGGCTAGGATCTGGAACCAACTTCCAAGCGAAGGAGGTGCTGGCTCCTACCCTGGGGGTCTTTAAGAGGAGGTTAGACAAACACCTTGCTGGGGTCGTTTGACCCCAGTACTTTTTCCTGCCATGGCAGGGGGTTGGACTTGATGATCTGCTCAGGCCCCTTCCGACCCTACCAACTATGAAACAGCTTGTTACAAGTTGTACCAGATCTCTTTTTGATCCTATTCATGATCTAACTTGAACTTGGTTTTGAGGTTAAGGTTCTGTAATGAGTTAGGTCACAGTGGACAACCTGCAAACACTTTTTAAATAAAAAGTTAAAGTTTTGGATTTCAGGATTGATTTATAAAACATGCTAGATCAAGTGCAGTTAAAACAAAATACTAAAGTGATGGGCAGACATGTTTACAATCTTTGCAGGTTACCTGCCCAAGTAAAACAGATTTTTTAAATCAATTAGTTCTCAAAAATCAAGTTCAGTCAGCTCCTTATTCGTCCATGATGTCATAGTTACCTAGCTGGCTATCTGAAGTAGTGGTATGGCAATTCTATAAAGCTGCCCATTCTTTAGTATTTAGAGCTCATCTACCCTGTCCTCACAAACATCAGCCCTTCTGGTGCTGACTATAATTTATGAAACAGCAACAAATCCACATGACATCAGATTTCTGGATGAGGTTCCCAAAATACTTTACTGAACACTGTGCTGAGTGAGTTTGGTAAAGAATCAAGTGTTGTCATGTTCATTATTTAATATCAGGACAGGACAAGTTGGGACAAAACAGGAACTTTTTTGCAAACTTTTTTTTGATGTTCCAATCAAGGAACATGTTTGCAGTTCATTACCTGTACTGAACTGTGTTTTACCTCAAACACGTGATGGGGTACAATCAAGACATGTTATATGTAGTTTTTTTATGCACAACGTTACTTTTGAATGCGTGTCCAACACTGTGTATGCTTTTGTTACAGCTTTTTTTCCCAAGACACTTTGAGTTGCAAATATTATGAGCTCAGACTAGCACATCAAAATTTCACAAAAAATGGAAGAACTCTTCGTTTATAGACACTTTATGTACCATATACGGCCTTGAAAAGAAGCTCAAACATAGAAGAGTTACACAAAATAAGCAAATTGCCTGGCTCATAAGGCATTAGCATGACCTGTCATTTGTGCCAGTCAGTCACCAGATAACCAATTTGGGGGAAAAAAATTATATATATATATTTGCAACAGCATCTGCAAACAGCAAATGTGCCCTTGATATATATATATGTTTGCAGATGCTGTTGCAACTCTGGTTAGTTTACTTACCCTGGTCAGTTTATTAGAGGGAAGGAGGTTTTTCCTTATAACCCCTGATGAAAGAGGTTATCACATTTTTGTTTGAACACTTTAAAAGAGGTCATCTTACAAAAAGTGCAAAAGCCTAACACTAAGTGCCCTGCAGAGCCCAGTTACACTGGGGTCCCTACTTTTGAATATTTAATCCTTGGTTTGTTTTCAGAATTTGAAAATTCAGATCAAATTTGTTTTTACTTAAAGCTCTTTGTTCTTTCTTTCTTTTTTTTTTTTTTTAAACTACTGATGCACAGTTTAAAATTAGATACACACTTACCCAGAGTATTTCTGGGTGAGAAATAGGTTTAGTGTTTAAGGGAGATGAAAAAGGACTGATGCTTAAAAATGAAATACCTGCAAATAGGAACAGCAAAATCATTGTCTTTGTGTTACATGTAAATCCCTGTATCTATGCATCTCCTCCCCACCCCCAGTATAGCTGCAGGTTAAATACCAAAATCTGAGTTTTGAAAGGTTGTTTGGGCAAGACAATGAAATAAAATATTTTGTGAAACTTTTCACAATATAAATCTACACTGTCTTAGAATCATTTAGGTCAATACTTATTCCCACTCTACAAGCAGGTGGCAGATTTGAAGCCACTGTTTAGTGCAACTTGGAGCTGGAAAAAAAAATGGAGCGCCTTGGTCCATATGCTCCAACAGGAACTCGACGTCAGACAGCTAACTCCCGTTCTGTTCCTTGTATTCGTTAGCATCTGGAGGCCCAAATCAGAACCCAGTAGTATCTACTTTTAAAAAAGAAACATTTGAGAAAATAGTGCTTAAGCTACAAAGATATATAATTAGAAGGTTATCACAGTGACCATTTATCAGAAAAAATAAGTTCTCTCTCTCTGAAAAAAACATAAGCATCATTTTGATAGATGAGGGAACTAAATCAGAAAAGAGTTAAGGCAGGGTCTTGTGTAGTGAAAAATCTGGCCTTACTAAAGCCAGAAGACATTGACTTCATTGCAGAAAACTATGGAACAAGGTTGTGACCCCAACATTATATAAAAAGGCATTTTTGAAACCTCAGAAAGATCTAAATTCCTGATCCATTTATGTATCTAGTACATGCTAAACTGACACACACAGGTATGAATGGAATCCTCACCTTTACCTCCAGGGCAGTTTAGAATAGTTTCCAAAAACTCTCTCACTCCATGTCATTAAAAAGATATAGAAAATGCTTGAGAAAGAGATAGACTTTTCTTTTTACACAGCTTGAAAATTTATAAAAAAAAACTAGATTAAGTTTGGCTTTTTAATTCAATTCTTGGTACAATCACTGCCCAACAGTAATTTCTACAGACAGCCTAAAGTGATAAGGAAAAAAAACAAAAAAACGGAGGGGCCAGGATTTCTTAGGGCGATATATTTTATTGGACCCACTATATAGTTGGGATAAAGTTAGACAAGTTTTTGAATGGAAAACATTCTTCCGCAGGTCTCCAAATATAGGAAGCTAGGCACAATAAGTTAAGCACAGCATAGAGGAGGTGCTGAGAGAAAGTCTCAGGTATAACAGACACACAGACTACCACATCTATGTCCACAGGACCAGCAACCATCCCAAGCACGCAAAAAGCTGTGTCATCTACAGCCAGGCCCTCAGATACCACCACATCTGCTTGGAGAACACCTGGGATGCCCACTCGACCCACCTAAAATCTGCCTTTAAATAACAAGGACACGTCAGTAGAGAAAAAGACCATATACAGGCACTCCTCACTTAACGACCGAGTTCCATTCCTACAACTCGGTCATTAAGCGAATTGGTCGATAAGCGAGGAGCCGCCCCTTACCGACTGCAGTCAGCCCCCAGGGAAACAGCCGGGGACGGGAAGGCGCTGGCCATGGCGGTGAGTCCTGGCCACTGCCCTCTGGGTAGATGCTTCTCCCCCCTCGTGGGTTCGCAGAGCCAGCTGGAGGGTGCTGGGCTCAGCTCCACGTCCCCTTCAGCTTGACGCCACGCTGCCGACCAGCTCTACGACTCTACGGAGAGCTGGTCATAAGTCCGCGCGGTCGTTAAACAGGTAGGTCGTTAAGTGAGGAGTACCTGTATTTAAAATAACTCAATAACCTTCTACAATACAAAAAGAAACCCCCCTGTGACCACACACCCCTTGTGATCACCTGCCACCCCACCCTGAAACCAATCAGAAGAATCACACAATTACAACCTATATTGGATGAAGATCATACCTTGAGAGAAATATTCCCAGCCCCTTCACCCCTGCCTTTCAAACAGCTCCCAAACCTTGCTCAGCTCATCATAAGAAGCACATTCTCTACTGCTCAACAGACATCAAGTGAAACATAGCTTTGCCTTGCATTAAGAAATGCTTAACCTGTCAGCACGTCTCCACCATTACTACTGTCAATACCTTCCATAAAGAAACCATCACAATCCAGTTTCTACACATGACTTTCCCCAAAATGTGGTATACCTGATCCAATGCGCTGAAGGGCCTTGTGACAACTACATGGGTGAAGCTAAACAGCAACTACGCAAGAAAATGAACTCTTACAGAAAAAAAAAAAAAAAATATATAAAAAGGATGGACACACTCTCACTAGGAGGGTACTTGAACAGGCTACCCAGAGAGGTTGAAGAATCTCCATCCTTAGAAGTTTAAGACCTGGGTAGACAAAACCTTGGCTGAAGTGACATAGTTGGGGATGGTCCCACTTCGAGCAGGACTAGAGGACCTCCTGAGGTCCCTTCCAGCCCTCATTTTCTATGATTCTATATGCTCACCATCAGGAACACATTTTTCACAGAGCAACCACTTCAGTCTCTGGCCTTACTATCCTCATGCCCAAGCGAATTCTACCCAACATCTTTAAAAGGCGCACTTGGGAACAAATTCATAAGCTGGCTACATACTAAGAACCAAGGACTAAACAGGAATTTGGATGGGCCATAAATCCAGTCTCCTGAATACTTTCCATACATTTCACATAAGTTTAGGGCTGGAAGGGACCTTGCGAGATCATGGGGCCAGCTCCCCTGCTCTGGGCAGGAAAGGCCACTAGGGTCAAACAACCCCAGATAGGTGTGCAATAACCCCAGAAAGGTGTCCAAACACGGTAACCTACACAAAGAAACCCCCCTGCAACCACACCCCCCTTGTGATCACCTGCTACTCTGCCCTGGAAGGAAAGTGAGGACTCCCCCATGCTCTCTTTATGACAGGCCTTGATTGCCCAATACTCAGCTTCTTTTCTTTCACTAATGGCTTGTCTGCTCCCCCCCACAGAATGTCTCTCAGCCCCTCCCCTATGCTCAGCTTCACTTGCTGCCTAGTAAGCTCACTCCCTATATACAGGGACCCTAAGAAGCAAGTCTTCCTTTCAAAAGCTTGTCTAACTTCATCTCAACTACCCAATGGGTCCAATATAACCCTATGGCATCCTTGCCCCTGGCATCACTTCTGGCCTGCCACGGTGACAACATCCCTCTTGCACTACCAAGAAAGATCAGAAGATGTAAGAACTGCAGGAGAGGAGAAGTAGAGATGGGAGGGGGGTGAGGAGGGAACGAGGGGAGGTGCCACGAAGAGCACCCAGGGAGATGGAAGCCACTCCCCTTAACCTCTGGTGGGGCTGGGGACAGATGTTGGAACAAACGAGTTAAAAAATAGAATGAGTGTCTGCCTTGTGACAGAGTGGATGGCTCTCAATCTCTCTCAGGGATACATGGACAGCAGGGGAGTCTCAGTGCCTGTCCACACATCCACATTTTCTAGAAGCAGGTGGTTGGCCGCCCTGGGTCCCTGCGGCAGGCTGGGGTGCCAGGGCTTAGGCAGAGTTTAGATGAGGTGGCACGGGACGGGCTGCAGAGGGCCGAGGCTGCCCCAGGCAGGGCTGGGGCCCCACCAGCCCCCCGCCTTACCCGCTTCTCGGAGCAGCTGGAAGACGCAGCTGGTGGTGGCGTTGGAGATGGCCGCCTTGCCCTCCAGCCGGTCCTTCCTCGCCGCGTTGCCAGCCGTGATCTGGTCCTTGGACTGCATGAGCACGCAGCCGGGCAGCTCGGGCAGCTCGAACACCGCCTTGGTCTTCCCCTCCGACACCTTCTTCCCGATCTTCAGTTCTAGAGGCGAGGAGGCGGCGGCCGTGAGCAGGTCTCCCCAGACAGCACCCCCGGCGGGGACGGGACCCTGGACACCCCCGCCCGGCTCCCTCCCTCTCCCCCGCGCCCGCGGGGGTCACCTACCTGCGCCGGCGGGGGCCATGGCGACGGCGGCGGGCACCTGCGGGACACACGGGGCGTTAGCACGTGGCGGCGGCAGTAGCGACGGCGGCGGCGGCGGGACGCGGAGAGGGGCTGAGCAG